CAAACCCTCCAAATTCACCTGTTATAGTGAAATTACCTTCAGCATTACTCGATATATACAAGAAAATAAACAACTCAGAACCTGATAATTTACCTGGACCTTCTAAAGTACAATCGTACTTCTCTCCTCGAGATTTACGACCATCACCAAAGGTACCAAAAAGAACAAGCACCCGAAAAGAACGAAAGCGCGGGCGGGCTGCCATCTGGACTGAGACCATCAATCATCTTTAAGTCCGCCAGAGAGCGCCACGGCAAATAATAATAAAAATATCCGTCCCTTTCCCAGCACAAGCTCAGCTTTTGGGGTTAAAATTCACTCGTAAGGGGGTGAATTAGGGAGAGTATTGTTATTATCTTGCAACAAAATTAACTAATGTAAAGCGGCTACAATGATTTATTATTTCGATTGTGGTATTTTACTTCTTTCTTTACGGATTATACTTCATTTGTGCAATGGATAATCTACTTATTCTTACAGCATACTTAAAATTAAAAAATACCGTCAATGTAAATCCAAAGAGAATTGTGATTTAAAATGTAGACGCCTAGAATAAATACGGTTCTGAATTACGATACTTCATAACACATGTGGTCGCCTCTTGTTTTGTCACAACAAAAAATGTTATATAATTTCCAAAGAAAACCAACTAGCTACCAAACAACACGAGCATGTCCTTGAGCTTTCCGTGTTTTTAATTACATAAAATCCTTATAAAAAATATGCGAATTTATAAAAGGCAGAATCAACATTGTTGCCGTTTTATAGGTTCTGGGAAAGATGCACTGGAACTATTAGTAATTTCAGATATTTTTACAGAGTAGTACTTTTAGTACAGGGTATAATAGATCTAATATAACATTCTTATAATCCGAAAATAATTGGATGAAATACAAAAATATTATATCGTAATTATTTGTTACACATAACATGAAAGTGTCAAAGAAATAATTATAAGACAAGAACGCTAAAATCATCCTCTGCCAAAAATGTATTTATTTTTTTCGCAAAACTAAGAGATGTCACGCCATAAAATTCACTGAATACAATACTAATGTAATATACTTTCAAATTATATGCTCAAAACTTCAGAAAAATATCGGCATCATAATAATTTTTTCACAGAAAACTAAGATGCGCTGCGCTGTAAAACAGAAAATAATGAGAATGTAAGTAATATACTTTCAAATTCCAGGCTCAAAATTTCAGAAAAATATCGGCGCAGCGTCATAGCTAAAAATCATGTTTCCACCAAATTTAAATAACTTTTTACCAAAAATATTGCATGCTTTCTGCTGTTTTGATAAAAATTTTATCCGTGGAAACGCGAACCTTTAATCAAATTTAAAAAACTACATTTAGAATCGTAGTTTCCTCAAGATTTTTATGTATAGTGAAATAACAATAACTTGTTGACATAGGTACCTAGGTACTAAAATCAAAAGTTTTGCCGAATAACATTACCGATAAAACTTTAAGCCAACGACTCAATTAAATTGAATCATTTTAAATCCTGTTTAAATGGTTTTAATAAAAAAAATGCAGAATTTTTGCCTAAATTCAATTTTTACATAAGATTAACTAGATACTTTAAGATTTTTAGGAATATTCCCAGTACCAATTTTAAAATTTTGCATCTTCTCCTGATGGTTAATTTAAAACATTAATACTAATAATTTAAAAATATATAAGATATTTTTCGTAATTGGTACGTCTATGATATATTCTAACCTATAAATACTTACACATGAAATGAAGAATTTGGATCGTTTGTCTTGTTTTTAACAAATTTTGCACTGTTTCACCATGTTTAAAGTCTGTATTTTAACAAAATACCAGAAAACCACTTTTACAAGAAAAAACTGAGAAAAGCCGATGAATATTAACACTAAACCACAATTTATAGCTTAAAAGAATCAGTTCGCTCACTCGGACCAATTGGATGTTTCAAAATAACATCCGCTCCAGGGATACAAATTCAGGATGCGCAAAAGACTGCTGTTTGAATATAGGCGGTTGTCATATATTGTATTAGGCATTCCAAACAAATGAACTGCCAGTGGGAAGATTTGATATATCCAAGGGTTGCGACATACGATATATTCTGTTTACAATACGTAAAATCATGAATAATGGATTACATTTAAATATTTTATGTCAAACACAATAAAAATAAGATAAATTTTTTCATAAATTGGCAGGCTCTGTGACTATTATTTCGAATAAAAAAAACACGTTCAAGATCCAAGAGTATGTCTCTACCCCCTTAGATATACCAGACCTTCTCACTGACAGCTATTGTTTGACAGGTCGTTGGAATGCTTAATTGGTAATAGTAAGAGAGCCCACTGCAAATTACGACCGCCATCTGATAACAAAATGAAATATGCTCCAAAGACATGTAACAACATTGTACTTTACCAAATTGCACCTATTCCAATCTGCAATCCAGAGCAAAGTGGTTAAAAAAAAATATTTTTTTTTTCATTGGTGGTCTTCGCCGTTTAGAGTATTTGGCAAGGGGATCATGGATAAAAAATATTCCTCACAATCTAACCTTCTGTGTAACAAAGACTTACATTCGACGATAGGTTAGATTATGAGTGGAGCCAATAAGAAACTACTTGGTAATTTTTACTACCAACTTTTAACTAGGTGCATACTTTTGACTGTTAAAATTAGTCTTTTGTCCTTTTCTTGTCTACATTATAGGAAAACTATACATACTTATTTTATCTATGAAGAGAAAGATAATTTAATCTCAGAGGTTTAATTTCTTTAGTGATTCGTAGCAATATACTATACAATACTATGCAATTCGAGTGGTTTGCTTGTATCGCACCAAATACTTTATCGAATTTTTGTAGATCGTATGTTTTGAAATTAACATACGAAACGGAACATACCGTAACAAAGTCAATCTTCACGTTTTCCAATAAAAAATTATGTATAATCAATCCCCTTATTATTATTATTGTTGAAATTGTTGGTGTTCGTTTTTGGAACTATTTATCGTTATTTCTGACATATTTGCATTATTTTTAAAATTTCCTGTCAATCACCTATTTCTATTTATACAAAAAAATGCAGACATAGTATTGGAAGTTTAATATAACTTGGCATCAATCGTTTATATCCACACTACGCTTTGACCTGACCTTCGATAGCGGAAATCCTACATAAATTAATAAACAAGATAAATTGTTTAAATGCACGGCACTGGTAACAAGTTTTTAGGTGTTTAGTTCCTCAGCATACTACTTGGAGCCACCATCGCAATAAAATGAAAGCGATGTTGCCAGTTTCCATAAACTTTCATAAGATTAGAATTATTTAAACATATTATGTTGTTTTGTCAAGCTCGATACCATCCATCATACTACTGATAGGATATTTTAAAAAGAGAGGTTTGACAACCTTGTAAAAATGAAAAACGGAATGGCGGCGGAAGGCGAAATGGGCAAATTACAACAATATAAGATCCTTCCTCCATGAATATAAGTATATAAAAGTTATTTTATGATGTAAGTTTGCATAGGTAGGCATAGATAAAAATTTATATATGTAGATAGGTAAGTTATTTTTAGGTTAAGATTTATGAGTGATGATTTGATGTAATTAGTAAGTATTAACAATTTAATTTAATATTAGGTGTTAGATTTGTTTAAGGACTTTGTTTATCATTGTTTTCTTTGCCTTAACACGAAATATAAGTAATTGTATTTTGAATCTATTTTCAATTCTTTTTTAATATATTTGTAACAATATCAAAACATGTCTGACCCGGGTAAAGCTAAGTATTCTTGTTCAGCTCCTAATTGTTTAAATAAGTATTCTAGTATTCAGCAAGCTGGTTATTCAAATAAAACCTTTTTTTTATTTTCCTTCTGATGTTAAAATTCGAGAGAACTGGTTTAAGAATTTAAATTTAACTTTTGATAATAAAACTCGCTATCTTTGTGAAGATCATTTTTTGCCAGTCTTTTAGCAAAATTGCCATAAAATTTGTTATATCAACTAGAACAGATTTGTTTTACAGTTAAAATAAAATTCAAATTAACTATTGAACTATGAGAAGTAATTTTTGTTTATAAACTAATTAAAATTAACTTGTACTTATAAGAATTGGCAATATTTTGATAAAAGAAATTGTTCAATAAGGTATGTACATTTTTTTTTGTTTTTATAGAAAACGCCCTGAGAAAACACCTAACACCTGCATCGAAAATTGGTCCATTTTCCAAGAATGAAAGATTACTATTAATTTCACTTACAATTATTGTTATGTAATATCGAGTACATGTTATGTATGTAATAAACGTTTAAATGCACCTTATTTGTATTAAATGATTAAACTATACCTTTTTATGGGCTGTTTGTTTACAAACTCAAAAATGTAAACAATAACAAACCACAACATTTTGTTTAAATGTTTGTGTTTCAAGTATTTTAGTATAAATATTTCTTTATTTATATTTTTTGGAGTTTTATTACTTTAAAAAACTAATATTTATATTAAATACAATATTTTAATTTAAATATTAGTTTTTTTTTGTTTAATGAATTCCGAAAAAATGTAAATAAATAATTTGAATGAACCGCGGGAAAACTAGACATTCTTATTTTTATTTTCTTCTTCTGTGCTGCCAAGCCAATTGTGTAATGTGCGATGGTGGCTCCAAATATAGTATGCTGAGGAACTAAACGTGTTACCAGTGCCGTGCATGTAAACGATTTATCTTACATATTAATTTATTATCTATGGTGAAAATAGTTTTGATTAAAATACTTTATTAAACAGTAATTGAACCTGGTTGGTTTCCAAGATATGTAATCTCAGTTGTGATTTGGTCACTTTTTCAACTCCCGCCTTAATAAGCATTCTTACGACCTGGTGTTAAATAATTATAGCAGGATAAACACTAGAGCCCACATTTTGGGTTCATTAAATAATAATATACTATTTTTATAAATGTAAATAAAAAGATAAAATAATTCATGTTCATTTATTTCTTAACAACAAAACTTATTTACAACGAAAACAATTGATAAAACTAATAGTTCAAGCCTCATTAAAAAACCATTTAGGAATAAAAATATAAATTATTTAAAAATATATTAGGTAGGTACATTTATTTTTGATAATTAAAATTAAAAGCATAAAATATAAAATGATTATTGAAAGAAAATAATGAAATCTAGAATTAACTCTTAAATTCCAGGTTGCTAAAATTTTAGAAAAAAATTTTATTTTGAAATATTTCAAGGAAGACACAATTTTTTGTCGGGACCATTTCAAATAAAGGTTCTATTTCTCGATTTTACACTTCTATACAATATTAGATGTTACTGTTCACTGGGAGATTTATAATAACTAATAAGAAATATTTTCAAACATTTAAGTAGATCTAGGACTAAATTGTTATTTAATCTAGAAATTTAAAGTAAACGGTTCTTTTACCTTTCCCATTATAATGTATTAAAATAAAGAGTTTCATTCGGAGTTTTTTCTAAAATTTTACAACTAAAACTACTTATATTTTTGTTCTCAAAAAAAAAATTGTTCAATAAAAATCTACATATTTAACAAAAAGCACAAAATGAAAAGCACCGAACTTACATGTATGTCTTAATAAAAAATATTTTTCCAAAAAACAATGATAAATTTATTATGGCCACAAACAATATTCACAATATCAAACCATGCCTATTTCAAAGTACAATCGCATATAGAATATATTTATTAGCCTATCGACTGTCAATTGTCAAAAGTAATAGACATCTCAGAACATTTATCAAAATAAAATAAAAATAAGTAAATAATGGCATCAAAAGTTATTACTATAAATCATATTAAATTCCGGGATTTTTAAATATTTTTTATAGAAAAGTAAAAAGAGCACAGGTATCAATTTGTAGTTTAAATGACTCAGCCTCTAGTGGTTCATAAATTTTTTTACATTTTTCTGATTGATACTAATGAAAATAATATTTGTCGCCTGATTAGAATTTTGAGTAGCACCATTTAGCACAAAAAAAGTGAATATTAATAACAGTCAATAGTTAACAAATTAAAATCAATTTTGCGAATATACTTTGATAGAAATGTTTTTTAAAAATTTCGGATTATAAACGCAATTATGCCATTGCAGAAACTGGTAACGAACTGTGCTTAGGCTTTATTTTGTTAACAAATACCTTAATACAACCATTAAAATCGGCCGATACTAAGACATAACCTCCACAACCTTTGGTATGCTGTTCAACAACCGGATCCTCAATCTGAAAATGGAAATTATGAAAATAATGATCGTGTATTCTAAAAAGATTTGTACAAACCTTTTTATCACAATTTTCTACTTCTATGGCTTTCCTTTGACTCTCTTCCAACATTTTGATTATAACCTCCGGATTAGGTCCGAATATGGCGCAGGTAACAGTAGCATTATGGGCTTTAATTGCTTCCCAAAAATCGTTTCTATCTCTCCTAACTGACGAAAATTTCGAATAATCATGATTCGTTTTCCAAATATAAATATCTCTATTTTCAGATCCTGAAAAAGAAATGTTATTATTTAAGTGATTGTTTGCATCGCTTCAAATTACGAATATGGTTGTACGAGGTGTGACTAGAAAAAATGTCTGATCGTTCAATGTTAAATAGGACAGGAGCTTGTCACATGACATCCCTCTTTATTGCTATCATCGTACTCGTTGCGCTCCACTTAAGGGAGCAGTAGCCTTCATTCGTAGTGGATCTTGCATGTGCTCCGCTGGAAATATGTTCATGTGTTCAAGGAGCAGGGCAACGTGTCAATTTAAAATTATTGGTAAAACACGAAAAATTCGTCACAGAAATGTAAAGTAACCTTTATTGAAAGAAGGATAATGGAGATGAGTAAAGGATCGCAGACGATTCACGTGCAGGACGATTTTGCACCTCAATAATAGACACAAATATTGAAAAAAGCTGTGAGTTGATCCGAAAAATCATTGGTTAAGTATTTAGGTTGTTGCTAAATCCATAGGAATCGAAAAAGATAGTGTTAAGGAGATTTTAACAAAACATAATAATTGTTTTCTCATCAGAACAATGCTGCAGTCTACACTGCTCTGCCTGTAAAGAGGTTTTTGGCCAAAAAACGCGGCAGAGACCATATACATGTTTCCGAAAAATAATCAGAGCACTGCTGTGGTCAGTGGCGTAGCCACGGGAAGGGGGGTTGGGGATCAGAACCCCTCCCATGTAGGGTCCTCGCGTCACAATTTCCGCTATCGTAATGGCACTGATGGCTATTGACTGTTTGTTTTTATTCACTTTCTTGATGGAACCCCCCCCCCCCCCCCCCCCCCCATAGTTCTCAAAAACCCCTCCCATAAAGAAAGGCTAGCTACGCCACTGGCTATGGTCAATGAAAAATTCACATGGAGCGGTGTAGGGATCATTAAGAGAAGTACCTTTAAAGTGATAATGTTAAAATTGTGAAAGAAAAGCAAAACATTTTATCTACTATTAATTTATATATTAATTATTCAACTGCTTTCAAGCAACTAATAGTATCAATAAACAAATAGCGTGAGTTTTAATATTATTATATTATTATAGCTCACGCTGGGCTCCTACGATAATTCGGTATGTAAATAGTGTGCACAGTAAATTCTTGGAAATTTTGAAGCTGATAAATACGTCCCATTGGTGTAAAATGTTAAAATAGTAGTTTGTGCAACAAGACTGGATATTATGGTCATATCGCACGAAGACGAAATTTGAGCACGACGCCGTATGCACGAAAATTTACAAATAAAAAAAAACATTTCTAGTTATTAAGACAAAATAACTAATTTTAAAATAATTTATGACTTTTAATAATTTTTACAATAAAATAAACGAAAAAAAAAAAGTTCATTTTATTTTCCCCCATCCGAGAATCGAACTGGAGTATTCTCGTGTGGAAGGAAGAACGCTACATAGATATGAAATAATATATTCGTTTAGTTGAAGGCAACAGCATACTTTTTCGTTTTGTAATCTGTGTAAGCAAATATCCATGTGGGTGTAGAAAAAGATTTTTTAATAACTGGAAAGGAATGAATAGTTAAAAGAGTACAATTATTAAATTGTCAACGTCTCTCAGTAACAGTCAATTATTATTATTATCATTGAGGGGAGTAATGTCATTTTATATTTTAACAAGATAATTTTGACGTTTTCAAATCAATTTCTAATAATAGTGCTAAAAAAAGATAAATTTAGATAGTGAAGATGAGTTATGTACACCTCCAGAAATAAGAAAAGTAACAATACCTTACATAAGTGCAATACAGAATTTATTACAAGAACAATCAAAAAACAAGTATAAAGGTATATACAAAAATGTTCAAGATTGGTGTAGCAATAAGAACGTTAACTCGTTTACAGAAAATATACTTTTGGAATATTTTAATGAACTTGGCAATAAATATAAAGCATCGTCTCTATTGACTTTCTACTCCATGCTAAGAAACACACTCAACATAAAAAATGGAATTAATATAGAGAATTATTCAAAATTAGCAAATATAAAAGAAAAATATTTTTATAAATAAAGGTCATGAATTAATAAAATTGTATTGTTATTGCAATCAATAAAAGACTATAATTTATGATCTCTTTAAAAGACAAATTCAACTTAAAAAACTAAAAATCGAACCAAATCATTTTCTATGAATTTATAATCTAAAAACTAAATCATAATCGAGGTCAAACTTCAAATTCATATTTATGTTCTGCCAATTTTGATAAAAGTAAAATTAACAAAATTTCTAAACTTAATTTTCTTCAATATTGCTATTTTTGAGATGTGTCCCTACATGCGCTGTCGGTGAGTGAAATGTCAATTTAACTTAAACCACATCTTCGACTAAGTTTTGCTACTAATTAGATAGTTTTATTTTTGCAAAACTATTTAACACGTTCACAACAAAGTAACCCAAAAGTAGGTCACACCAGTGTTTGTTAGTTTTTCGATTTGAAAGCACAATTTGTATTTTTTGAGTTATTAATGTTTTATAATATACAAAATTATGTTTTATTGCATTTTTGTCTTATTTGTAATGTGATCCACCGGTAAGTAACGCCGGCTTATAAAGATCATCTTCAGTTACAGCCTTCATGACCCACTTGGTAAAATATGTTATTTTTGCAAAAAGAGGCATAAAAGGGATATAGTCCAGGATCCGTAAGTAAGGTCAACCTTCACCCATCTGTTTAATGGATAAAAGTTTTTTTTTATTAAATAAAATGTTTTTAAATATACCGCAAATGGGTTGTCCAAGAAAATAAGGTCACGGCCATTTTTTACTTTCCTTTCTGTGTACAGATAAGGAAAGTATAGGAATCATGATAAAAGTTGCTTATGATGTCATTTTCTATTATTTTGTACCTATACATGATTTCCCTAAAATGGACCTAATTTGAGATATTTGAGAAAAACACCAAATTTTAAACTTAAGCAGTGAGCAGATTAAAGTTTAGGCATAGTCGAAGCATCTGGGGAATACTTTGCAGGGTCTTTTTTTTTTTTTTTTTCTTAAACTAGTCTGGACCGTATTTTCTTAGGCAACCCATTTGCGGTATATTGTATTTAATAAAAAGAATCTTTCATGCATTAAACAGATGGGTGAAGGTCGACCTTACTTCAAATCTTAGACCAATATAAAGAAATAGATGAGGAGGTAATAATTCTAAACACAGCAGAAAAATAAAAGGAGGAAAAGCAGTCATACAATTGGAAAGTATGAAGGTTCGGATAACACAAGTACAAAACTTTGCACCGAATGTCATAAGAGAATTCAGAATTAAAAGTTAGCAAAAAAGCAATAGAGAAAGCATTAAAAGTTGTAACAGATTGTGAAAACTGCGATGGAACGCCTTGTTTCAAATATGTTCATACAATTTTTTTTATTTTTTTAAATTTCGTTTCTTTTTTTTTAGTTTGTAAGTGTTTACGATTTAGATTTAATTTTAAATGTGTTTACGTAATAGTTTATAGCACCTTTGCCTATGACTTATTGAATACAATTACAAAAATGTATGTTTCTATTACATAGTAAACTAAATTGCCAAATCGCACTGTACAGAGCAATGTAGACCTATTTTATAGCCGTAGTTACAATAAAAATATCCTTTATACTAAACATAAAGTTTTAATGTGCATAAACCATAGCATAACACGGAAGCCCACCGGTGGGCGCGGACGTTCACTAGAAAAAAATAAAATGACTTACCGCTAACAATATACTTTCCATCATGACTGAAACTAGCTTTAATTTGACTGCTCATATTAACATATCCCTTGTATTTGCAAGAAACATTTAAGTCCCTCAGATCATACAATCTAATCCTACTGTCGTTCGAAGTAACTAAAATCTTATCTTCACCTGGCATCGGTTCTATTCCACTGATTTTTCTTCCTACGGCGTTTCGGCCTCTAGATGAACGTACGTGTATCTGAGTGTGATATTTCAGTTGATCTGTGATATAAAATATACAGCGACCGTCATATGTGCCGACGACGGCAAATTTTCCGTTTTGGCAAAAGTTTGCGGCAGTTATTAATTTTGGGTTACCTTCTACTTCATTCCATACAGCAACCTAAAAAAGATAAAAAGTTCGTTGAAATTTAGAGCTGTAGATAGTATTAGAGTAAAGATGATTTGCTATTCGCGCCTATCGCAAATTTGAAGATTCCCTTTACAATTTTTGATGAAATTACCTTTTTATCTGGAATGTTCCACAATCTCAACTTTCCGTCCAAAGAACCACTCAGGAAGTACCTATCGTCTCTAGGATGAAACACGATAGCAGTCACAAAATCGATATGTTGGAAGCAACAAAGACATTCCTTCCTGGAAATATGCCATAATCTGACTGTCTTGTCCATAGAAGATGAGAGAATAAAATAATTTTTAGACCAAGAAACATCAAGCAAATCCGACGTATGTCCGGTGTATGTGCAAAACGGTTTAGGCATAAATGTTAATTTGCTTGCCTCTTCTGCTGTCATTCCTTCATATGCTGCATGATTTGACATTTCGGCTGAATGATGTGATACTAGTGATTCTTGAGAAGGTGTTGGGGAAACTTTTTCTGCATTATATTTGGTTCGCATATCCTAAAACATAATAATAAACTCTATTTATCATAGTGTTAGAATCAGCGAATTGGAAGACCGCCACCACTGGGGTTGATAGTGCCACGGTGCGCACGTGCAGCGCCCGAGAGGCGAGAGGTAGCACTAGATTTCTATCAGCCGAACGCAAGCAAGTAGACATTCTTTATTTTTATTTTTTTTTAAGAGATTTAATAAAAAATTATAATACTATGTTAACACGTGTTTTGTGAAGTGACTATACAGGGTGTTATAGTATAGTATACAGGGTGATACATCATTTAAAAACAATAATTCTGAAGTTAATTCGTTTATCTTCTAACAATAGATAATACAAGAAAAAGGTAATATAATTATAAATCTATATAAAACAATAAATAAAGTGGTACAGTCGATAAGTAGTTTACTTGTTTCGACAGATATTATTACTACAGAGTAACAGTGCTGGTCAACTTCCAAAACCTTAGTTCGACCCAAAAAATCAGGTAAACCCAACAAAATATTGCAATCATGGAAACTCCTCATAAGATTCCATGAATCCACAAAACAAATTAAAAAAAATATATATTTTATATAAATAAAAATTTCCTTGGTATTTACGGTCATAAACTTTATTTTCTATCGTTATCACAGCACTACATATGTTTCGGAAAACTTTGTTTCCATCTTCGGGTGCAGTCAAAATAAAAAAAAAGCACATGGGAACGATTACAAACAGTTTAAAAATTTTTAAAATAACATAAACCCCATCTTTTTGTTTCAGCGTGTGAAGGAATACACAATAAATAGTTTTTTAAAAGTTGCTGGAATTTTATTATCCGTATGAAAATATTTGCAGCTAGCACCGAAAGGAGACAGTCCACTTGGTAAGCGAGCCTTAGGGCCGTTGTGCTTAGTAAACTACAAATCCGACAAACCCCAATTTATAGTTCTAGAGCAAGGAAATGGCTTCAAATCGTTGGGAGGGAAGGTTTGATACAAGAAGAAAAATATCTGAATTCCTATCACCGAATTTGCAATCAACATTTCAAAAACTTATCCATTATCCAATCTTTTTGAAAATAGGAGCAGTGCCATCAGCGAGTCATAATGAAATTGTTGTTAAAAATATTACATACCAGCACAATTACAGCAAACCTGCTCCTTTAACACCAAATCTTTAAAAAAAAACTATTATTCCCAAAAACACAATTGAACAACTCGATTGGAAAATAAAAAAAAAGTGTTAAAGTTACAAGTAACAACCAAAATTTAACTTAAAGTACCATAATTATTAACATTGTTTAAATTTATTTTCCAGAATATGAAAGTGCACTTGATATTTTATTCAACCTTCATTATTAGGATGTTAAATTTCCCGCTCCTTTATTTGTTTGATATCGATAAAAGCGTCATACAGTGGATCAGATATTAATGCGTTCGAGCTGATCTAGTTATTTGTGTTTCCTACTTTATGCCTCCCATCTCTGCTCACAAACATCCAGTAAACAAAGCATAAAACCTTTAATAACCGTTCATTCGTGCAGACTAGTGTCGTTTCAATCAGCTGTATAACAAGAATGATATTTCAAACGAGAGCAGATGTTGAATATAATATCGAATTAAAATGAAAATCCCAAATTAAAATTATTTAATACAGATCCAACTTTTTTTTGTGGAGGGTTTATTGAATTTTTACGGTTGCATATCAGGGGTCTAATACCAAAAGCAGCAAACTCCAAATTTTCTGATTGAAGCCTTTTGTGTCGTACCGGTTTGGAATGTTGGTTTATTAAAATTTTAGATTTTATTATGTAACAAAAACAAAAATAAGCAGTTAACGCCATTCAGCAAAGTTTTAAGTTTGTATCAAAAACAGCAATCTCCAGATTTGACATAACAAAAGTAGCAAAATTACTTTCAGCCAATAACAAGCGGTTAAACCAATATGGTAGCTGTAGTCGGTTTGTAACAACACGTTCATAGTTAATTACTATAAAATAATAAAATATAAGAATTTTTTAGTGAAAATTCATAAAATGGAGGTCTCTTGTACTCCTGTAGATAAAAAACACGCAAGAAAGTGCGTTAGAAATGCCAAAAATTGGAAAGCAAATAAGGCGAAACGATTGCAATAAGCAACATTATTTCCAGGACGGCAAATAGTAAATCTATATTTACAATAAGAAACATATAAATTCCTACATTAAGTACATAATACGTTGCTGTATAGAACATCATATTTTATTGGTATTGTATATAGTGTAAACATTTTTTATAAAAATGGTGTTAATTGTATGAATATGAAATTATATTTTGTAAAATTTATTTTATGTAATTTCTGTATACTAATGGATCCTTCCGTAATATACAGGGTGTTAGTATATTCGACCGACAACGCTCTACCCCAGAGTTGAATGTTATTTTTTAGTACAAGGTTTATATTAATATTCCATGTAAGATGAGTACAAAGTAATAAACAATAATTTCTAATAGTGTCTAATATCTATATTATTTATTGGTGAAATTAAAATACTTTGTTGATTAATCTGATTAAGTTAGTAAAACTAATCTAATCAGTCTAAAAATAATTCCATGGAGATAAAACGATGATTGTGTCAAAATTTGAGATAAATAAAAAAGAAAACGGAAATATGTACCTGAAAGAAAGGATAAGCATCTCTAACAACCCATATCCTTAAAATTTTATCTTGACCAGCTGTCGCCAATAATCTACCGCAACTGGAGAATTTCATGCACCAAATAGGTCCTTCGTGTTGGTCGTCATTCAGTTCTTGAACATGTTCTACTTTTTCAAACTCATAAGGACCTTTATGCGAATTGGCAGCCTAAAAGACTAAAGAATAAATTGTTATAATTATATACAAGGTAGAAGTATTACCTTTAGTTTACAGCTTTGTTCACCAGGATGCACATTATCTATTATATCAATGGCGTCTTCTTTATGTCTAGCATGAGAGACTTCTTGAGCTATAGATTTCGCTTTGTGCATTGTTTTTTTAACAGTAGAACCTAAGAAACGTTTTAATTTTGCTGTTTTTTGTCTTATACCTCCTACTTCAATTTCATTTTCTCCGACAGTTGGTATATCCGATTTTTTACCTACACTCTCTTCGTCCGATTCCTTTTCTTTCTCCATGCTAGAACTGCTTACATATTCTGAAGTTATTCTCATTATATGCAGAGATAGAGGATTGATGCATTGGGGTAACTTATCTTCAGCGACACTAAGTGGCACCCGTTCTCCAGTGTCCAAATTTAGTACTGTTACTTGTTCGAGAATTTCCAGATCAGAGAGTTGTTTTCCGGAATCTGTATGGGTACGAACGTGGTGCAAATTCCTTAGGAAATTCTCATCACCTGCAGATTTTCTACGTTCTTTAGAAGAATGTTTGCTATCATTTTGGTGTGTTCCTCTAAAAATTTCAAATATAACAAATGTAGAACTACACGATAATCAAACTTATAGTTTTAAAGGACAATTCTGTTTTTCGCTAGTAAATTCAAACAAAACTACAATCAGATTAATTGCCGCTGTGGCAAAATACACAAAACAACAGTATATCTCTAAGATAAGGAGACTTCTAACAAATTCAGGTAGAGTATCGGCCATTGTACTAGACACCTTCGGGACCAGGTAGGACACATCGATATTGAACATATTTTTTGTAAATAAAAATAACTGACATTTTATAAAATTTATTAGGCAATGCGGAAATCAAATTTAAGATGTCGGAAACAAGTTGTATCCCATCAAAATTACATTAGAATAGTTGGTGGTGTCATCTCTGACGACATGATTTGACAATTGCTACTGCTGTTGGTAAGAAACTGTGACTTCTGTTTAGGACAAGGAAGTAGTTTTCTAACTCTAATTAAGAAACGGTACATTTAACGCCAAATTAAAGCATGATTTCGAATAGTTCCATTGATAAAAACTTGCAAAAGATTCAAGATTCAACGTTGTCAATCCAAAACTTAAATGCACATCAATAAAGCTTCTTGGTACATTCCTAACTACGTCAACTGGAACTCACGAAAGAAATAACCATTTCTAGGAATTCTAACTAAATCAGCAGACAATGCATAACAATCACCACAACATATTAGCCAGCCATTGGACCTTCCAAAGCGAACAGTACAATTATATGATTGATGTATACATATACATATTGCTACAAACACATACATAATATAAAATATTTCCATTTTCCTGAAGTACATTTGGCAAAATATTAGTGTAAAGTAGAACCAGAAATATTGTATGGTCACAAATCAGTATTAACGGGCGACCCTCATTATTACCTATTGTTAGATAAGCAATAAAATTATGTGAAATAGTATATTATAAAGTATATTGTAAAGTATATTGCAAAGTGTATTGTAAAGTGCATTGTAAAATGCATTATAAGTACATTGTAAAGTAAAGTATATTATAAAGTATATTGTAAATTATATTGTAAGGTATATTGTAAAGTATATTGTACAGTTAATTGTAAAGTAAATTGTAAGTAAAGTAGTGATGGGACTTTTCATGAAAAGTAATTTTTGGACTAGTCCGTCGGTAATGTCCGGAAAAGTAGTTAAAAAAGTGCAAAGTCACAATGAAAAGTAGTTTGGGTATAGAAGAAACCCAGTTAAATCTCCATCCTGGATGTTTTTTCAAAAACACTTTGGGAACAATATTTGCATTTATATTTTCGTTTTTTAAAGCAAATCATTTGTAAAATACTTCCAATCTTTGGATTTTTTGCCATTTTTTCACGTATTTATTTTAACTAGTTTTCACTCAGTGGTCAAAATTCGACCATAATTTTTAAAAGTTTAAGGAAAACATATATGCATTTTGCATGTTTCTAAGATTTTTTTATTCTTATACATTTGTTCATTGTATATCTGCAACCATAAACTTTTATATGTTACGATACAACATAGTTCAGTATCATATTATATTTATATAAAAAATAAACTCAATAAAATAACAGTAAAACCCTCATTTATTGGTATGAAATGAAAAACAATTTTTATTTTTATTTTGATGTTACTCTTGAGGCTTCTAAAAAAAGGGGGGGTGATGTGAGCAATCCCCATTGCTCTACTATATTCTACCTCAGCTTGCACCTTGTCATGAACCATAATATCGAAAATAATCATTAACAGACCAGAAAAAGTATCAAAAAAAAAAGAGGTCGACCTACTATTCGATTTTTTAAATTTTTCAATTTTTTTAATTATCTATACAAACAATATCTCAAAATACTCCTTTGGGGGGGGGGTGAACATTTTTTCGCCTCAAAGTCCAATTCGTTGTACCCGGAGTTCATTTTCCTAAGTCTAGGAGTTCTATATATCGACCTCTTTTGAGGAGGGGAGTTGGGCACTTTAAAATCATTTCAGGCGGGGTCCAGAGTCCCGCTTTTAGTTTTTCTTTTTTTCTATTTCTTAACATTTAGGCGTAACAGAGGAAGAGGGAGGAAGTAGTTAGAAAAGGGGAAGTAATTTTTTTCGTTTTTGGCGAACCTCTATTCGTCCATGTAATATTTTCCATGTCGGTTTGAAATTAAAGGGTACTCATGTTTGCTATAAGCTAACTTTATTAGTCAATCATAATTCATAATTATTGTGGATCAATGAATTTAGAAGTTCATATATCGAAGGTTGGAAAAAACACCATTTTTATTTTTTTTTATTGATAAGCCTAAAGCTCGTCAATAGCTACTAAACAAATTAAAAAAAAAAGAAAATCGGGTCACAAACATAGAGAAAATGGTACTAAACTATTTTGTCTTTGCCCATTTATATATAGATAAGATATAAAACGAAAACTCATTTGTCGTGTCTTCTTTTTTAAACTATATTTTGCTTTTATTTGTAAGAAAATCAGACAAATTAGTCACTTTAATTTCGTGCATGCACAATATACTTTTTCAGACTAATCCGTCGGACATACACAAAATAAAGAATACAAATCATGTTTCACAGTTACATATATAAAAAATTAAAATTAAAGCCAACCCTGGCAAATGCAGGAATACAGTTGAACGTATTTCAAAATTCAAAGAAAAACAGTCCGTTAGCAGCAAACACCTGCATTAGATACGTGTCGTATCTAAACGCCTATCTTCGTTAGACAAACTGCGACTCTTATGTAATATCTTTCTCTATTCGACATATAACGTGTCGAGTTCCTCTCATAAGAAACCCTATGCAGGTAGCTACTCGCACGAAATAAAGTTTTATCACTTTATGGAAAATTTCAAGTAAATAAATATAGTTTCCACTAGCAGAACTATTTCACTCGTATAGGTACATTTAAAATAAATTGTTAAAAATAAATATATACTTATTTAACAGTTACAACACTCACTATATATCTTTCTACACCAATCGGGTGATCACTCATTCCACTTCCTCTTAATCAATCACAAGTCAGTGTCAAACGTACGATTTTTCCTCTAGACCAATCACAACAGTTGCATATAAGCAGTATAATATAACCAGACGATACACAACAACTCCGGCAGAGATCATTTTCAACCTACGAAAAAGCAACAGCTACTTTTATTCTTTGTGTGAACAGTCGCTTTTCTTGGTATTGAAACAATATAAAAAGATGTTCTAAATTAGAACGTTTTAGAAAAACTGGTTACGTGAAAAAATATTTTACAAATGTTATGTGGTTATAAGATGCAAAGTTTATAAAGTTAAATTAACCAGTTGACGGAAGTAATCATTTTAATTTCGACATTCCAAAACAATTTATCCAGCAATTCACCACGGAGACTCTACAAGCTTTCATTAAGAATTCAGTCCACGCTCTACCCTGTAAACAGGAAGGAACCCATATGTAGGTAGTGAAGATTTAAAAGAAAAATAAATCACCGTTAGCATTTCGACACTCGTATACCTTTTTTATTTAGAAATAAAATTAGTTATAATCCAAAAAGTCAACTAAAAATACTTTGTATGATAACAAATGCACCTTAGTATGTGTCGATAGTAACCCTTCATGAAGACTTAAAAATTTCATATATTCAGGATGAAATCTCAGAGCGAAACCAGAATCATCATAACAGACTAGAAAATCGTGTAAATACACTACCCCATCCACTTCTGGAATTCCAAAATGTAAGAAAACTGAAAAGGAACTAGTCAACTGACCTAATAAATAGTTGAAAAAGACTTGTCATTGGAGAAAACCTCATCATGCCAAATAAGAGCATAACTCTGCTCTCAAGCCAACACATTAGGTTATAGAATTGTCTGTTTTGATTTCTAATAAATACATAATAAACAAAGGAAATTTTTGTATAAATTTATGCAAAGTGTACTCCTTGGGGTAATAAAATCCATACCTATGTGGTCCTAAACTGTAATGCCCAAGACTGCTTCGATTAGAACTCCTAGGGCTACTACTGGTGGTAGCAGTTTTCTCAGTTGATACGCTTAACTTGTCCATACTGTCGCTCTCTAATTCTCCTTTGGAAGCTGGTTGTGCTTTCAGACTATCATTATCATGTGGTCTAACGACAAACTGTCCTTTCAGCGCTTGTCTGATGTCTAAAGAATGGCCTGAGCGTAATGTTGAACTTTGTGATTCGGCTCCGCCACATTTGTCGGATTTGGTTGATTTGACTGACGGTAAACGGTCTAAAGAATGTTCAAATTCCCTAGTTAGTGATTCTATAGTAGTAGCGGGGCTAGCTAGTTCAGAAGACTTGAAATTAGTGCTAGAAGCAGATTTCTAAAATAAAAACCACTCGTGAGATGAAGGCAAAGAAAAATAAGGTGAAATTATAAACTTAAAATATTTCATAAAACACAAATAGACTGCTTATTAGCCTCTATAAATATTTACGTTTTAATTAACTAATAAAAAATTGGTATTTACACGCAGTAAGTGGTAAGCAACAAAAACTACTAAACAAATATAGCATTTGATTTCTCTCTCACATGTTTTAATATATTTAAATATTGTCAATAAAGGTTTTAAAATATTTTACATCGAATTTAAAGTGAATTTAAATAAAAACTAATTTCAAAGGAAATCGATCATACCCAAATGTTATAAAAAATAATATAGAAAGACCTTGTCCCTGATTTTGAATATAAACGGTTTTTCATTGTTCAAGGTTTTATAAACGGAAGTGTTTTTTGAATAATTGAATGAGTTGTTGGTTATGTGTTCGATAAAAACGTGGACTACAAAACAAATAATTAACATGATAAAAGTTACTGATATACGGTATGTTGTTTGTTTTCCTCACTCCAGTAGAACGATAAAGAAAGACAATAGTATTGATTAGAGGGAAACAGAATAGGCGGACCGCAATATACGAACCCTAACAACTATATGTTCGGACGATGTAAGAAAATTAAAAAAATATATTGATATTTATTTTAAACAATTTTTTCGATTTTCCTGAGTGAAAAATCAAGTCGCATACTCTTTACTTAACATAAAATCTGATCGTAAGGAAATACTTTTTAATTTTGTATAAACAACACAACAAAGTAACGAAATTTTATCAAATTTTCCGACAAATAAATATTCGGACAAACTTGAATTTTATAGCTTAAATGGAACTTTAATACGAGGTAACATCACCTTTTGCGGTAATAACGGCTTGAATGCGTCGTGGCATGGAATCTGCTAAAGTCTTACAATATTTGGGGGTGAAAGAGTTCCAAATTTGTGAAATTTTTTCCTTTAATGCGGGAACGGTACGCTGAGGATGGACTTCTTCATCTGATGCCCTAATGTTTTAATGACATTCAAGTCGGGACTACTCGAAGGCCACGATAAAACTTTTTCGTTGTTTTCGCCGTATGGCAGGGTGCACCGTCTTGTTGAAAGATAAAACTATCATTTCCAAAACATTGTTCTGTTGTTGGAATTAAGCTTCTTGATAAAATTTGTTGATACTTTTCTGCATTTACAGTACCATCAATGAATTCATATTTGCCAACCCCTTTACTACTCATAACTCCCTTGGGAAATTTTACAGTAAAAACTTGAAGCAGTCTTTATGAAAAGCTTCGGATTTTGTACGAATTACCCTTTTTCTAAAATTCCCAACGCATACATCAAATTTCGATTCATCACTGAAGATGACATTACTCCACATTTCCGTTGTCCAGGATACTTTGGATTTTGCCCAATCCAAACGTTTTTCATTTGAATAGCTGTCAGTAATGGCTTTTCCTTCGCCCATAAGGAATGTGTATAACAGAACATTATTAATTTTTGTGTATTAAAACGAAAAATTACAAACTTACTTTATAAAAACTGGAACCAGACTTATGCAACCATTGTCTACAACATTCCCTAGAGCCATTTAATTATGCCTCATGATTCCATTGGGCTTGTATTTACCGTAGCCTTTCTGTTGATTTTGTAAATCTTTACCAGAACACGGCGTTCTCTTTCTGTGATAGTACGCGGTCGGTCTGGACTTTTACCACGAATGTCAACACTAGCTGTCTCTCCATATTTTTTAATATCCCCGATCGTTGATTTTGCAATATTTAAATAATTCGAAATTTTTTGCATTGATTTACCTCTGTGGTACTGAGAAATTATAATTTCTCGTAGTTTTTTGTTTGTCGCAACTATACGCGCCATTTTCTTAAAAATTTATATCAAAATTTGACGGATAAACTGACAACTATTGACCAAAGCACACTAGATTTATCAGTAAATGCATGCATATTACTGATTTCAAAGCCAATGAAGATTAGCGTCCGAATATTTATTTATTGGCAAATTTGATCAAATTCCTTAACTGTTATGTAGTTTATACAAAATAAAAAAGTATTTTCTTACGATCAGATTTTATGTTAAATAAAGAGTACGTGACTTGATTTTTCACTCAGGAAAATCGAAAAAAAAAAAATGTTTAAAATAAACAAATATATTAAGCTATTGCATAGCTTTTATCGCGGGCTTTGAGCTTGTCGACCGAATCAAGAAAAAAAAACGAAACCGTAACGAAAATAACCTAACACCCCCCACTCCGACCGGCACAGCGGTGCGGCGTTAAAAAATATTAACTTCTTTCTCATTTATTCAATAAAAGAAAATCGAAAAATCGTCTAACGTCGTTTCAGTTCGGCAGACTTCGGCACGGTGTTTGTGCGTGCGACTAGACGTATGCGTGTAGACTAGCTGCTAACTGCTTATAACTGATTCTATCTCTTTTAGACACAATTTCAGAAAAATTTAATTTGAAAATGAATAATGATCCACAAGAATCCACAACAAAATATGGAACCACCATTTACGCGGTATTTTCCAGATATTTAGAGGATATCAAGTCTCAAACTTATGTTTCTTATTTCAGTTACCATAAACCTATAGTTTCAATGATAAAAATTCCTGAATAACCTACATGTATTGTAAGATAATAAAAATATTTTAAACAATATTAACTTCTCATTTATTCAATACGGTGGTGGTGTAGCGGTCTATCGCGCTTATATTCATTTATAGGCAAGTTTTTATGAGTCCCAGACCAGACCATGTGGATTTTTAATAAAATTGCATGGTTCGGTTTAGGATTTGATGTGTGGCGTATTAATAGAAATTAAATTTCTGTTGATATGACATGCAGATTAAAAAAATTCGCCATACATTACCGTCTCGATGATGGTGGGTGAGGTTTTCCTGGTTTTCCTCACCTGTAAGTCAAATGGCACCATCAATCATCTTTAAGTCGCCCCGGAGCGCCACGGCAAATAATAATAATAATAGCCGTCCCTTCCCCTACACAAGTCGTTCAGTCGACTTCAGGGATTGAAATTCACTCGTAAGGGGGTGAATTAGGGAGAGTATTATTATTATTCAATAAAAGAAAAAAAATTGTTTTCTTATCGGTCACCACGCTCAAAAAGTGTAACTTGAATTAATATTAAAGAAAAAACTTGAATTAATATCAAAGAAAAAAAAGACTGCATAAATAATTGTAATTGCATAAGTTGATAAAAAATGCTATGCAATAGCTTTACCGCAGCAGTCCCCGAGTTCCACACGTATTTTTTTTTTATTTTTTTACGTCATCCGAACATATATTATAGTTGTTAGGGCTCGTACATGCAATATATCATATCATTACCACCGAAAGGGCATGGTTAAACCAATTAATGCTCTCTTTATCTATCTCACCTACAAATATAATTAAGCATCTCTCTTTATTCTGCTAGGTGAAGCTGGTTAACATATTTTATAAATATTTTTTTAACTCTAATAACAAATTTAAAAGAAAACACAATGTTATAGTTATAAATATTATCAAAAAATACAGAACATATAATAGGCTGCTTGGATCGGCATTTAATTGCATGACCATTTCTCATTTCAAACCAGAACTAATTGCAATATAAGAATAATTATGTAATCTGGTGAATAATAAAAATGTATACAAAAATCTATGTAGCTTAGTGAAAATTCAGATTTTTAAATTTTTGGTATAATCAAGAAAAACCACATAATATACAACTGATAAATATGTGTAAACTAAATCATTTTTGAAAATTATTATTAAATAATTTGTAATGTTTCAATAATTAACTTAAGTAACTAGAATAAATATATCAAAACCAACTAAAGATTCTAAAAAAAGATATTTTTAAGAAAATGTAGCAACACAAAATATATAGTCTACCTATGATTATGAATTTTTCCAAATAATTTCTAGCTCAAGTAAAAGTGACAGTAGATATAGATATTTATCGATTTTCTGAGCTATTTGAATGACAAAATAATAGTCCACCAAAATTAGGGTCTAAGGCGAAATTTTTAGTACAGCTTAGAGCGTGTCATTATAAATAAAAAACTGTCAAAACGAAAATAAAATTTATAATTTTCGATTTATTCGTTTAATTATAATGAAACTGTTAAAAAATACAACAGTTTTACATTATACAGGGTGGTCCTTAAGTAATTGTACATAGAAGTATGGTAGATTCCTCACTTTAAAATATTACGATTTAAACCAACTTGCTTTAATAAAATGTTGCTAATAAGGAATATACAGGGTGTTAAAGGTTAAATTTTAAGATTTATTTTTTACAATAACTTTAATGTTTTTGGATATTGTTATGTGAGCCATTTCATTATTCAGTCATGCTCTAATCCTCCAAGTTCCTCTCTGTCTTATTTGGCCTTTGAGGCTCAACTTGTCCGATTATCATACATAATTAAACCCCTTAAGACCAAACATATGTGACGACTATGGTGGAGGCACTTTCGCGAACATTCCTGAGACATCCTGATAATATTTCTGGTCTATTCCGGATATGAGATATTTTGGTGGAGGAGCATTCTAGATCACCAATTTGTATATAAATATTGGTGGAGGAGCATTCTAGATCACCAATTTGTATATAAATATTGGTGGAGGACCAACAGAAAGTCATTAGATATATGGACAGTGAAGATAAATAGTGAACAATTTAAAGACATTCGAAATATAAATAAATTATAATAGTGTTATAAAATAAATAAGTGTTTAAATAAATTATTAATAAATAAACTGTTGTTTAAAATAAACAAATATAACAATATGTATACATAAAAATTTGGAAATAAGAGGTTTTTGGACACGAAAAATCATAATCTGATACCTACTTCGATGTAATTTGTAGAGGGCACCACATAGGCTACATTTTTGGCATAAATGTGCCCTAAATTTTTTTGCTGTTTAAGTTAGCGGTATTTTTGTAAAAGAATATTAAAGTCACGTTATTTTAATAGAAGTATACTTGTTATTAACCTTAAAACTTAACGGTTTACGATATAATCGCATTTTAGGGATCAGCTGCATGATTATTATTGACATTTAGAAAACAAATTAAAAAAAAAAACTAAGCTAAATAACATTATAACTTTAAGTGTGTCACATAAAAATGTTCAATATGTCCTCCATTCTCGTCGATGCATTTATCTACACGTTCCATAAAAGATCGTCTCACATTAGTCATATTAAACAACATGATTGGATCAAAAAAACTCGCTGCTCTATTTATTTCTTCCCAAAGTTGGTCGCCGATATTTATGGGTACCTTATAAACAAGTTGTTTCATTGCACCCCATACATCTAAATCAAGAGGATTCAAGTCTGGACTACGTGCTAGCCAAGGGAAATGGCTACCACGACCAATCCAGCGTTCAGGAAAGTTGTTATTTAAATATGTTTTGACTGCTCTCGTATTATGCGGCGGTGCACCATCTTGCAAGAGCCACATATTTTGTCTTATATTCAGTGGCAATTCTTCCAATAGATTGATGAAATCATTTTGCAAAAAATGTAAGTAGTTTTCATCATTCAAATTACGGGGTAACTCGTATGGTCCTAAGAAATTGGTACCAATGATACCACACCATACGTTTATTTTGAATTCATATTGGAAAAGCCTTTCTCGTTTACCATGGGGATTTTCAATAGCCCAAAGATGATTGTTCCTTAAATTAAAAATACCACGGCGGGTGAAGGTAACTTCGTCGGTAAATATTCTGTCGACAAAAGTGTGATCAAGATTTTGCTTGTTTCGGATAGCACTTGCAAATTGGTATCTTAACGGTAGATCTGCTGGCAATAAATTTTGTACCGGATTAAAATGGTATGCGTGATACTTCTCGAGGTGCAGTCTTTTTAAAATAGAAGTTTTACTAATTTCTAAAGCAGCAGATAAACGCCGTGTACTAACTTGAGGATCATCTTCAATACGAACAATTATTTCGTCATCTTTATCAGGCGTAATTATTCTTGGTCGGGCTAAGTTATCAGGCTTAGGACGAAACGAACCACTTTCCCCTAAATTCCTAAATAGATTTTTGAATGTTTCATGATTAGGTTGCTGCCTGTTTGGATATCTTCTCAAATATTCTCGTTTCGCAGCACGCAAATTAAAATTTTGCAGACAGTAAATAGCAACCATATCTCTCATATCTGTATTAGATTAATTATTATGCCTGGGCATTTTCTGTTTTTTTTTTTAAATTAACCAAAATAAATGCAAACTAAATATTACAAGACTGACATAATATTGAAACAAATCGAATGCTTTGCTGTCAAAATCATTCGTGGCGTCCGCCTACTACGTTAATACGAGACGATCTTTTATGGAACGTGTAGATAAATGTATCGACGAGAATGGAGGACATATCGAACATTTAATGTGACACAATTAAAGTTATGTTATTTATCTTAGCTTTTTTTTAATTTGTTTTCTAAATGTTTTCAATAATAATCATGCGGCTGACCCCTAAAATGCGATTATATCGAAAACCATTAAGTTTTAAGGTTAATAACAAGTATACTTTTCTTCTATTAAAATAACGTGGCTTTAATATTCTTTTACAAAAATACCGCTAACTTAAACAGCAATAAAATTTAGGGCACATTTATGCCACAAATGTAGCCTATGTAGCGCCCTCTACAAATTACATCGAAGTAGGTATCAGATTATGATTTTTCGTGCCCAAAAACCTCTATTTCCAAATTTTTATGTATACATATCCAAAAATGTTAAAGTTATTGCAAAAAAGAAATCTTAAAATTTAACCTTTAACACCCTGTATATTCCTTATTAGCACCATTTTATTAAAGTAAGTTGGTTTCAATCGTAATATTTTAAAGTGAGGAATCTACCATACTTCTATGTACAATTACTTATATACATTTTTACATATATACATTTTTCGGCATATTTTCCCAGTTTTCATGAAACATTTTACTGTACTTTTTTTGAAGAACAGACGATTTTCTATCGATGTCCTTATACATTTTTTTGCCAAATTTCATGTTTTTTTAATATTATGATTGAAAAAAACGTCGTACAGTATTCATCTGCTTAAAAAAAATAGCCCATATTAAAGTTTTGGCTACTGCATTAGTTGTCTGTCAGATTCAGTATTATTTTAAAAAATCGTTCAGAAATGGCCTTTTTTTTAAAATGCGAATATCAGTAGCCAACATATTCTTTTTTTTTAATACGAGTAATTAAGAAATTCGGCCCTCGTATCAAAAAGTTTGGGAACCCCTGACTCTATACTAATAAGTATAGAATAAAAACGTTACTAACGACAAGTGTAATACATGAAATTAAAAAACTTGTGTAGATAAAGAAACTAATTTTTTCTACAGTATATAATTAGCTACAGAATGTTGATTTACTCACGACTTTCATAAAAAGTGCCAATTACTTTTAGAGTACCCTATATAACTTAGACAAATCATATATTAGATGAATGGAAAAAATGAGAGTAATCTAAAATAATAAACTGGTGTTCTGGTTTAACAAAACATGTCATGCAACACTCTGTATACCTCTGTGTAATTGTAAAATGTGGCCCTCAAGTCACCCTACAATTTTTTTTAATAACAAGGATGATATCGAACTTTTTCACAACATTGGTATAATACCTTCTTTCGATTATTCTTATCTCTGCGCATAGTGAAATTTTGTCAAAGGAAGTGGAAAGATTCAGTGTTAGCTGCGTCTCTATGCTGCACTAAAAATGTTCTTTTTATGGTAATTTTTTGTCTAATTCTGGCGAACATAATGGTTTTTAGTAACTTTTAAACAAATCACCCTGAATTTATACGATATATTTTTTCTGATAACAGTTCTTTTGACTATAACAATGATAAAATAAAAAGATCAACTTACTCTTTAACAGTAAATAACCCAATATTTCACACAAAATGTGATATTGCTGTCATGCAGCAGAAGCTCTTAAGTTTGAAAAACTGTTTAAGTTTTGAATCATTTTGATTTTATATCTTAAAACTTAAAAATACGTTTTGTATTAAATACTTTGATTTGTTAATTAATTAAGTATTTCTGAAAACTTTCAGTGAGAGACCCAATATATTGTCAAAAATCAAAAGAACAAATATCAGAAAAAATATAAATGCAGAGCAGTTCGTTTAAAAAAAAACTACAAACTCCACAATCATTCATTAGTAGAAAAAAATTAACAAAAAAAGACCTTTATTAAAATAATTTATTATTATGGATAACACATCTACTGTAGCCAGAAATTAGGCACAAATATGTCTCTAGAAATATATTTTAAATATATTTGAAAACTTTGTTGTTATGAATATTATTTAATAATAGAATTCCAGACTCTTTATTAAATAGTCCTGTATTCAAAATGAATTTTCTAAGTTAGAATAACTCTTACTGTGAGTGCCAGAGATGTCGCAGAATCTTTATTTTTCTTTTTGCGCCTGGGTGGAGCAATAGGTGCATCTAAATTGGTGGCAGCGTGAGAATGTGTTGAATCAAAACTATTTTTTTGTGAGGACGATTTTGTGCTAGCAATGACGTCGGGTTCCTGCAGTGGAAGACATGCTTTTTCAGAAGAACTCGTTTGTGGTATACCTGGAGATAGTGTCAATGTACTAGGATATTGGGAATATTGTTTATTGGAACTCTGTGTTGATTCTGAATCCAATGAACTTGTAGATAACGCTGAACCTGAAGTAGCTTTCTTTCCTGTTTCTGATAAAGCTCCTGAGAGATTAAAAATGTTGATTATTTTCTTAATCAAATAATATTTTGCAATACTTATTTTTAATATTTTAAAGTAAGTACCGTTTGGCGTTTAAAATGAAACCAAAGTGAATTTTTTTTGTATCCCCCAATAGTTACTATTTTTCTCCTAGTTTTTATTACTACTGAGACATTTATGATATAATGGCACCAGTATTTGTATGTCATCTTCAAAGAAGTCTGCAGTATTTATAGATAGCTATATTTGCAGTGCTCCAATGAGGGAAGGCTCCTCAAACAAAATCACTGGGTGCCACATATCTAATGTATGTCTGATGAATGGCAGTCTAAAATTTCTTTGATTTAATTATAATAAACCTAATCACACAGCAGGTAAGATGCCTTATCGTCTTTAAACACACAGAAAAACACATTAACAATCTCTGAAATTGTGATAAGACCCTTTCTGGATTGGTGAACTACTCGAAAACAGTACTTACTTTAAAAATACGCCTCTTATTAATTAATTATTGGTGAAATCACCAAAAATATATTTTTCTTTATAGTCTGACTATTTTGAAATAGATTACTATCAAGAAATATTTCGCCTGGGTGGTCATTCCCACTTTTGCTGCAACAGATTTACTCACAACCCTACTACTTGTTGCAATTGTGGGACAAAGTTGCCACATTATTTCTTGATAGATTTGTACGTGCTTTTTATCTCAAAAGCATATTAACAAAATATATCTAATTGAAATTTTACTGTAATTTTATGCTCATATTGGGGTACTTTTAAGCCAACATAAATAAAAATCCTCTATTGTCACTTTGTTAAAACAAATTTTACATTAAAAAAATATGTAAACTAAAAAATAACCTTGGCATAATTTTAGGCTAAATATATACATTAAAACAAAAAGTGTTCAAACTGTCTTTATTGTTCCATTAGTTTAATATCAGCTTTTTGGGGGTTTATTCTTTGTGGAAAAAACATATTAATTATAGCATTTCCTAAATTGTAAATTAAATGTATAGGGTAGCAGGACGAAAACGTAACAAAGACAATATCAGGAGCTCCATCAATATTTTAGAGAAACACTCCTACTCATCAATTTATTATGTATCCACAACTGTCATACATCATCCCTCTCCCCTCCAAAACTCTATAATCAATATAATTTTATGCATAATTCAGCAATAACTATTCATTGTCTTGTTTTGATTTTAGCGCCCTCTAGCGGGATAAAAACTGTTACGAATTGTAAAGTGTATCACTTTATTTGAAAGATAATTTTATTAATAATTTAATACACAACATATCAAACCAATTAAATAAAACATGAACTTGAATAAATGAAAAATCCTGCAGAACGTTAGGAAATACAAACTGTAATAACAACCTACCAAAATAACAAATGAAGTGTCACACTTTACAATATAACAGTTTTTATCACCCTAGATGTTGCTAAAATAAAAACGAAGCATTGAATTAGGCATTCCAAACAAAATGGTTGCCCCTAGGTAATGATAGATATGATCTGGCAATACTGTGGGCCTGGTGATTTGACAGGGTCAATGATATAGATAGTTATATAGATTGATCATCCATGTTTTTAAAAATAAGCATAAGCATATGCCTTGAAGTAAAAATTTAAGTAATTATTTTTTTAATATATTCAAAGACTGGAAATTGTCAGGCAATATGGCCACTCGCAAAATGACATGCTTTGAGCAATCTATATAACTATATATGTCATTGACCCTGTCAATGATAACAGGCCCACAGGGTTGCCATATCTAAACTGTCAGTTTCCCCTAGCAGCATTCTGACAGGTCATTGGAATGCCTAATAGATCAAAAGTTAATGGGACAAAGTTCTAAAATGTTGACACAGTTCCTGATAATAACTCTAGAACGTTTTCGTCTAACCCCCCCCCCCCCCCCCCCTATATGTACGATGTAAGAGTCTAAGGTTTTAAAATATTTTTCAGATAACTCATTTTGAACACCATTGATGAATACATTTGAACAAAATTTTTTAGGTTCTGCAGAAGAGGAGATATAGGACTAAGATGGAGGTTTGCTGAACCCTATAGAATAATGTTCCACTTGCAATGTATTAAAATTTAAAATAAAATGATAACAAAAATATATTTAGACCCAGAGTGTAGATCATGTGTGTCTTACATAAAAAAGAAAAATATGTATATCCCAGAAGAAGATATAACAAAATAAAAATACAGTAATGAATTAATTAAAATACAGCTATTGAGGTAATGCAAATAATAAAAACAGTGACTCTGGTATGATTTAGGTACATTAGAATTATGAAAAAATGTTGGTAATATTACTAAATGTGTTAAGTCTATTAAACCAGTTTTTCCTTTCTCTGTTGAAACTGTTTTATTGATATGTAGGGTGAAATTCAATTGTAAGTGAAAATATATGCCTAGAAATTTTGTTTCAGTGACTTTTTTAGAGGATCATTGTTGATTGCATAATAGTGGTTTATGTTAGAAAGACTTATATTAAACATTCAATATTTGCATTTGCCAATATTTAATAAGTACATCAATTGTATAACATAGTTACATCTTTCTGGATAGTAATCCAGTCAAGTGATAGGTCTAAACATTTTCAATTCATCAACAAACAATAGAAGTTCGCTATTAATATCTGAGCCAATATCATTAATGAATAATATAAACAGTAAAGGGGCTAGGTTGCTTCCTTGTGGAGCACCACTTACTATGAAATTAAATAATGTATGGCTACAATATTCAACAAATAGCATTATATCATGTAGACAGGATTTTAGTAAGTTAATAAGATGGTTATCAAAACCACAATATGCTAGCTTATTCAGGAGTAGGTATTTTATAGTTAATCTTAACATAAGCCTTTGAGAAGACCGTAAAGATGGTATCCACAGGCTGTTTAATATTTATGTTTGACTTCTTTGAAAATAAATAGTGCCTTTCATTGGGGGAAATGACTATATTCCAACTCCTTGTTTACCGGTTTATATATTATGTATAAAAAATATTCAATTCCTGCAGCAAACTCTCAAACAATAAAGTCATTTCCCTCAATGATGGCACTCTATTCGTTTTTAAAAATGGTTGGTTCTTGCAGTGAAAGGGTTAATTAGTAGTCCATATAGTTCTAATTTTTTATGAAATAAATACCTGTCTCTGAAACACCTCCTAATATTCTTCCGACTCTACCTAAAGAATTTAAACTCTGTAAACTAATAGTATCTTGTTCTATAATACGAAATGGATGGGTAGTTCTACTGGTCCCTGCAAAAACTCCCTCGACTGATGAATTTTGACTATTTGGAGGTGTAATGTTTCCAGCTTGATAGTCTTCATCATCATGTTGAAGCTTTTGACGAAGCTCCTTAAATTTCTTTCTACCGCCAATGGATACTTCCTTAATTCTGTTTTCAGTTAATTGCTTTAAATCATCAGCTGCTTCATCCACCTCATTCAAGCCTAATATGTTGGGTTCAGAACAAGCTCTCTTAGATAAAGTCTCTTTCGAAACCTTCTTACTTTTCCTAAAAAACTTAAGGTTAACAAACTAGACAAAATCAAGTAAGGCTTGTCTAAACTGTTTTGTTTATTTTGATGTCAAGTAAATAAAATGAAAAGTCAGTCTTTCTGAATCAGTCTCCATTTTAATAAAATTAGCCCCATGAGAGAAGTCTGTGATGTAAGTTTTTAATTTTTAAATCATTGATTATAGAATGTAACTATAGGTAATTAAAATGTTATTATTGTACCTTGCACTACTAGGTGAATTATCTTCTGCATCGTAAAATTCGTCAGAGTCACTATCAGTAGACATTCTTAACTAGTTTATTGGACATTTCACGAATTTTTATACTAATTAAGATATGAACATTTTATGTGGGTGTATCACTAAAATTTTGATAACATGTAGGTAGATATTATTTTTTTTGATTTTGTAGTTGTCAAAAATATTGACAGTTCAATAAAAGTATTTTTATGTAAGAAACTTCCTGTTTTACCGACTGTTCTGTCTTAAAGTTGAGTTTACACTAGCGAAATACCTAACGAAATTATCTGGAACGTAGATTTAATTCACACGTAATTAAAAAAAAAATATATATTTTCTACTATATTCCTTATTCATCAAATATCTTATAAAATGAAGTAGAGTGTAGGCGTGCAGTCACTTATCATTTGTAGTAATCTATGTTGGTAGCAGTGTTTACAGAATGTGAAAAAGCATTTTCAGTAATTAATATTTATTTTTTGAGTGTAAGTTTATAAATTTTATTGTGTGAAATGTATTATAATAATTTCATTTAAAAATAAATACTTTTCATTTAATCGTCAAAGTAGATGGAATAGTTCTCAACCAATCCGATCACTTTATTTATGACACAAAAAAAAGTGTAACCAAATAAAAATTTAAGTTGTCATCCTGATAGACGACGTCTTAAACCTACCTTAATATTTTCTCAGAACCACAGCAAACCTCAAATACGCTTTCCGCTCAAGGTTGTTTTCTCTTCCAAAAACCAAATCAACATGGAGGACTTAGCTGTGGAAGTATGCGGCGAAAACGGCGCTCTTTATAAGGTCAGTATTAATTTATTTGCATTATTTTTTCTATTAAAATAACGTAACAATACGAGGTAACTATTGGGCCATTTATTTTTGGTAATACGTCATATATACTAGCTGTACTTCTTTGGAATTTTTGTAAAATGTGATTCACTAAACGCGGTTCTTTTGACGCCATGACCATTTGACAGGGCGTGAGTTCACCATGTGTCTATATATTGCCAAGAAAATACGTTTTTAAACTATATTTTTGTGTACTGTTTAATTAAATAATACTAAAATATCGAATGATGCCTTGAATCATTACCAAAAAGGTTAGGTTCACGAGGTATCATATTACTCTTGCATTCATTACTAAAAAAAATATATTTTGTATTTCAGGGCTACGTTATAGACGTTTTCGACGATGAAGTACTCATACATTTTGAAGCTGAGTAAGTTTTATCACTACAAACACGATTTGTTTAGTTACTTTATTAATGTTTTTTGTAGTTGGCAGCCAGATTCAAAATTTCCTTACTCCCAAGTTAAATTGCCTCCCAAGTCAGATCCCAAGGTAGAATTTGCTGAGAATATAGAAGTTGAGGTGTATTCTAGATCTAATGATCGTGAAGCCTATGGCTGGTGGAAATCAAGGATCAAGGTATGTCATAGGACTATCTGAATTTTTTTTGTTTATAGATTAAAAGGTGATTATTGATGTGACATTTCAAAATTTTATATATGACAATCATAGGAAGATCTTATGGTTATTTTAAATAATTTGTATTACTCATAATTATTTATATCTTGTTAGAACTGTACATACCTACTTATACTCAACTTTTCATTCATTGTCATAATGTAAATTACTGCTTTATATGTTTATTAGTAAATGTCTAGTTTTATATTTCTTAAGTTTGATACCTAGTTTGTTTTGTAAAATTTGTAGATATTTTGACTATTGAAATGTTTCATATAACTAGATAACAAATCAACAAAGTGGAGGGAATAGGGATGCTGCATTTGTAAAACAAGTTAAAATGAAACCAAATGATCTTCATAATAAGGAACATTATGAGGAAAATCCAGTGAGCCTGTTCTTGTTTAAACTTATCTAAAATTAATAACAGTTAAATAATAAATAACTAGCATAATTTTGGATATCTTAGTTTATCACAGGATCTATACAGTATAGTGAACCAGTATAAAGGAGTGATTTTCAGTTTTCTATCTAATTGGCTGATAGTTTTTAACTAAATGTTGTCATCCCTGTAAATGATTCCTGGATTTATTTATAAAGTTTTTAGGGCTTACGTGTAAGGGCATGAAAAATGTACTTATAGTAATTATTACCTAAGTATAAAGTTATTTTTTAGGGTATTTTTTTAATAGCATATACCTCTGCACTACTAATTTCCAAAACAAATAATCCAGGAAAACTGTACAAAAGCAAAGTTACACTTTTTGTAAAATTTAAAGAATTTTTTGTATTTTGAATGTTGTATTTGACATATCTATCTCTTCATCAGAAAGTCACCAAATTAAACTAAAAAATAACATTTGTGGCATTTGATCATCAATGAGAAGTTTGGACCCACAACAATTGATTAATACACAAAACAGAGGATATACAATATAGTCGGGGCAGTCAATATTTACACATGACATAATTAAAATGCAAAAAAAAATAAGTTTAGAATAGACAGTCAAAACAATGTTGACTTTAAAAATGAAGCAGCTACCAATGTCCAAATAGTATATTCTCATAAAAACTTTTTAAATCCATAAAATTAATAAATTATCTTTTTAATGTTTTTTTTTGCAAGATAAATGATAACATTCTAATGAAACAGTGGAGGTATGGAAGGTTATAAAAACTAGACAACTAATGCAGAAGTACACCATGATTGACATACTTTTTAATTAATTATTCATGAATATTTTTAATTGTGTAGTTGTTAATTAGATAGATATCCTTTTTCCGAATGGTATTTAGAACAAAATAGCTTAAAACAAGTAACAACAGCTGCAGACAGGTTTTTCTAAGAGTTGGGTGTTTCAACTTTTTAAATTTGTCATTCTACTGGTGGATAGATAATAAATCATCTTGTTTATGAAACAATATGAGATTATTTAATTTTTCCAGGTGGATGTTATCCATAAAAATATTTTAACTCTTAGAAAATATGAAGGTCGCCAAGTTAACTGAATGTTTCTAACCTTAATTTTTAAGACTTTTCATGTAATTTGACATTTAAACAGCTTGTTTATTTTAATATAAACGATTACAAAATAAATGCTCACAGCAGTGATGAATAACCAAGGAGGCCTAGAAAGAATGTTTTCAAACAGTATGACAATTATGATTTCTTTTGTCAGTTTCGTTTATCAAAAGCAACTGTAGAAGGACTACTAATGAAATCAATAAATATTCCTCATCTTTTGAAAAATGTGAAGACCTTTTGGATTGTGGGTCAATTCTTAAAGTTATACAGTATCTCTATCTTTTTAAATCTTTTTTTACACAAACAGTCAGATAACTAATGACATTGACCATCGATAAGGAGGCGAATCGGCATACTCAAAATACGGTCCCAAAAAACGCACGTTAATTGAGCTTTTATAATTAAAAAAAAAATACATTGCTTCTTATGGGAATTATACATAATTTTGTCAAAATAATAAAAATAAACTTGTTTATAGCTAAATAAAGCACAGAACATACTGTTGTATTTATTTCTAAATAAGTCTTGCATGTTTTAATTGATAAATTATTTAATTTTATCTATATAAATTAGGTAGGTATTACCAAATTCGAAAAGGTTTGTTAAATGCTGAAATTTGATAAGTACAATTTTGTAGCAAATTTTTATTTTATTGAACCTATAAATAGTTTTAAGAGCAAAATAAAACACAGTTAACAGATTTTTTATTGTTGTAATACCAGTATAAAGGTAGATGCTAATAGTACCATCAATAAAAATAGTCTCATAATATTTGATATCTTCTAAAAAGTATAGAACAGCATCATCTCTAGAAAGTGCCTCTGTTCTAAGCATTTTGAATCCTATTAAAAACATTTGCAATGACACAATTGGGGTACAATAAAAAAATAACAGTAACAACTCTTTATCTAACATTAAAACTATAAAAAATAAATTTTCTTTTCTAGTAAGTTAAATTTAATGTATAATGATTGTTGTTTGTAAGTCAGGATCTATGACTGTAAAATTTTATATTATAGAAACTTGCAATAAAATAAACTACATTCCGTAAGATACATATTGTGACTAGTTTACAAGTTTACAATAAATATTATATTTAGTCATAAATACATTATTTTACTTATATTAGAAGCTTTAAAAAGACATTGAATTGATTTCTCCTTGTGTTTTTTTTTTTTTTTTTTTTTTTTTTTTTTTTTTTTTTTTTTTTACATTTGATTTGTATCGTGTTTTACAATCTGGAACGACGTAAATCTTGCTTTGATGTTTTTTTTTTGTCACTCATGTTACTTGTACTCTGTACTTTTTTCACATTTTGATTGTTTTCACCAATTTTTTTAAAAATCACTTTATTTTTCATTGACTTACATAGAAAATTGACACCGCTTTTATTCGACATGCCAACTACAGTCCATTTCGCGAACTTTATCAAAATGACGGAAATTTGACCATTGCCGATTCGCCTCCTTTTCTCTAGTCTTCATAACCATCAACAAAAATCAAAATAAGAAAACGACTTCTTTGTTTTAAAATATATAATTTGAACTATTTCTGACATAAAATAAGCAAACAGAGTGTTTGACTAATAGGTAAATAATGTTTGTGAAACGAGTTATTCTGATGAGAGGTGTTGGCTGAATTACTGGCAGTAAAAATAACCTTAGTTCTTAAGGCTGCATCTAAGGTTTCATAGGTAACAGGTTTATAATTTTTTTACTAACAGTTACCCCTTTTTTTAAATATACCTTTAAGTTTTTAAATTACCATTTAGAGTTGGGGCCAATTTCATAATCAAATTAAAGGAAGCTTCAATATTAAAAGGACACTTTAAATGTTATATCGATTTCATAATACAAATTTATTAAAAAATTACACTTTTAACTAAATACTCTGCTCTTTTATATACTTTAAAGGCTGCTTTTTCGGATGAGTTTACAGTTGTTTAGTATAATTGGATGTTAATAAACAAACAAATAATATAACATATTTTTAAATTGTCTAATGGGGCATGTTCAAAAATTTTGAAATTTTTTTTATGAATAATAGAGTTGAAAATAAAACTACATTTTTTTTATTTTTTTTTTATCTATTCATTTGCCGGAGTTATGAATTTTTTTAAAATTTATGACGTCACCGGGAATAGACCAATAGGAGCTAGCGCACAACGTTGCCGGCTAGAAGGTTTACGAGAAGTGATGTACGTTCGTTTGTGTACTCCTTCTTAATTTTAGACTTCTAAAACATTGTTAAACAAATATCTTTTAAATACATAATATCAAATGTTTTTTGAAAGTATTATTTCTGTTTAAACTTTTACCATATTTAAAGTTTCATTGTTTTAAAAGTCACTTAATAATTCAGAAAATGGCAAAATGGCAGCACTGTATATGGCAGCTGTCATAGTGTCTCGATCAAGAATTTATTTGGAATTTGAGTGTTTAATTTTGTACTTTTTATAAATATTATGACTACGAAAAAGTGTTTTGTTCCAGAATGTGATAATGATTCACATTCATCTTCAAAAATATTTATTAGTGTTCCTAGAAATTTGGAAAGAAGAAAATCAACCTTCTACTGGCGATGTTTCTCGTGAACTTTTTAATAAAAATACACCGGATTATCAAGATGTAGTAGCAATTTCTGCAATTGTCCCCTTCAGGAAATTGAAAATTCTTAGGTGTATAACCTAAAAACCCTTCTGGAAGAAAATGCAGAATCTCCTGAAAGTTTTGAAGATACCGAATGTATTCATCATTTTGTGGAAGAACTAGTGATAAAGAAATAATAGAAAAATGTGGGTATTTAAACAAACTGGTTCCTGGATCCCATATAATGACAGATAGGGGTTTCAGAATATTCAGCTACTTGAAAACATGGGATGCACTTTAGTAAAGCCACACCTAGTGTATCACAGAATGAAAAAAGTTCTCCAGATGTACAATTAAGTAAAAGAATAGCATCTCTAAGAATACATACATGTGGAAAGAGTTATAAGAAGGGTTAGTTAATTTAACATGTTAAAACCACATTCGTGTGTGAATTTTAAGCAAGTACATTTACTTAGTAATATCTGCATAATTGCTTGTTTACTTACAAGAACCTATTTTGTAAGAGTAAATATTAAGTTAATAAACTTTTTTGTTTGTTTTTTAATTTAATTTACCTAATTATCACATTTCAGGGATTATAATGAGTTTTTAAACAGCCAATGTAATTTTTGATAAAAATTTAACTTTTCGAGCAAAACAAAGGCACCTATTTACAGCAGTTTAAAATGAAACATTTTAACAAAAACGCCTATGTCGCGGTGATAAATATTAAAAACAACCAAGTTCAGTTGAATGTGGTAGCAAAGTCTATATATTCCAATAAATCGGGTAACTACATGTGGTATCACTGGTGATAAATTTAAAAATATCACAATTCCTGCTACCTT